GGGGTACGCCATCTACCATGCCGCCCTCCTTTATAATCTTTACCCCCATCCGCATCTTCCCGACACCACTCCAACCACACTTTGGCTCGGGGAAACACCCACTGCTCGGTCTCTTCGCGTCTGGGGGTGCACCGCCTATGTCCTCCTCAACCCTCAGGCCAGGCGACAGCGCGGTGGCAAACTCGGTCCCAAGACTCAAACGTGCATCTACCTTGGGCACAACGCCGACTCCCCCTGACTATCTCTTCCTCAACCCCTCCATTCAACAGTTAGTCCGGAGCCGCGACGTTGTCTTTGATGAACTCCGCCCATTCTACTCGACCTCGGGACCGGATCCTCCTTCCTATCCCCCCTCTCTTGTGTGGACGGACTTTGATGCGCATCCTGACCCCCCACCTGCGCGAGCCCCTTCACCACCTCCCTCCCCTGCCACCGCACCCTCCCCCTCAGAGATCTCTGACCCGACCTCGCCGGTGTCTTCGGCAGCTGCCCCTCCATCCCCCTCACCTCCCACTCTGCCGACTGTGCTGCCACCTCCGAGCGCACCTATCACTTACCATCGGCGGTCACACCCTCCGGCCCCACATCCTCCCCCAGTTCCCCCTACCACCGAGGAACCCGCTCTCCCACAGTCGCCCGAGCTGATCACGTACCACCGGCGGCCCATTCCCCCGCCCAAGCCTTCTAAGTCAACCCCTCCGACACCACCTGCCCCGCCCTCTTCTCCGGTGGCTCATGGCACTCGTTCGCATGGCGCTGCTCTTCCACTAGCACTGCTTCTTCGATGCACAGCGATCACACCGCCTCCTCCTGCTGGGGGGGATGTGCCCTCTACCCTTCTGGAAGACAGGCATGAGGAGCTGTGTGATCTTCATGCAGTCATTCCTCAGCTCTCGCACATCTTCCCCGACATCACTGAATCACCCTCACTCAACTTCGCGGAGAACCCAAACAGCCCTATCCCTCTCACCGTCCAAGAGGCTCCCTCAGGTCCCCATGCAGCCGAATGGCGTGCTGCCATGGAAGCAGAGATTGAAGCGTTCACCCGCAACCACTCCTTCGACGACGAGACTCCACCTCCAGGAGTCAACATCGTCGGAGGCAAGTGGTTGTTTCGTGTGAAACAGCTCCCAGACGAGTCCCTGGTGTTCAAAGCGCGCTACGTAGCCAAGGGTTTCACCCAGCAGTAGTACCACGACTTCTTCAAGACCTTCTCCCCCACATCCAAACCTCCCACTATTCGCACGCTCATGGATGTCGCAGCACGAGAAGACTTTGAAATCAAATCCATGGATGCCTCATCAGCTTTCCTCCAAGGACGCCTCAAGGAGACAGTGTTCATGGACAGACCTGAAGGCTTCCCAGAAGAATTCCCTCCCAACACTGTCTGGAAGCTGAATCGCCCCGTCTACGGCCTTAAGCAAGCCCCTCACGAATGGCACAACAAGGTGAAAGAAGTCCTTCTCTCCCTGGACTTCCACCCCTCGTCTGCTGACCCGACTCTCTTCATTCGCCGTCATTGTGAGCCATTCTACATCCTTGTCTACGTCGATGACTTCATCCTCGTTGCCAAGGACTCGGCCCAGATGACCTCTGTCCAGGCGGCCCTGAGCAAGGGTCTCCAGATGAAAGACCTCGGTGACCTCAGGCACTACCTGGGGATGGAGATCACACGTGATCGCAAGGCTCGCACCATTTCACTCTCCCAGGAGTTCTACATCAACAATGTGCTCAAGCGGTTTGAGATGGAGCTGTGCACACCTGTTGCCACACCTAGATATGAGCATCGAACCGAACTTAGGTTCGGTTCGAGAAGTTCGGTTCGAGTTATCTCGAACCGAACTTTTTTTTCCGCGAAAAATGTTTCAGCAAACCTTGCTAAAGTTCGCGCGAACAGTTCGCGCAAACTTTTTCGGTTCGAGTTTCGAACCTCAAACCGAACAGGTTTGAAGTTCGAAAAGGTGAAATTCGAACCGCGAGGTGTTCGAATTGAATTCCCGCCAGAAAAAACCACCTCGCGACTTTCCCGTCGAAAACGGGGAAGTCGTAGGTTGGCTGCCATTTGAAGGCAGCCAACCCTAGAATCGTAGCAGCGCAGAGTAGATCTGGATCTAGATCAACTCTAGTTCATCCATGCTTCCCCACTACCTTTGTTTCACCTCAGCTCCAACTTAGGATGTGTCAAACGTTAACTCGTTTCTTATGTTTGACGGATTAGTGATGCCTGTTTATTGTCAAGAGATTAGCATGTGCATTATTTTAAACCTCAAACCTGTAAAGGTTCGAGTTCGCTCAAACCTTAAAAGGTTTGAGCAAACCTTTAGGGTTCGCCATTGTATACTCAAACCTCAAACCTTAAAAGTCTGAAAAAAGTTCGAGCAAACCTGTTCGGTTCGGTTCGACCAACATGCAAGGTTCGAAAAGGTTTGCACAAACATGTTTGAGTTCAGTTCGTGCTCATATCTAGCCACACCGCTGCCGCTGCAACACCTCCTCACGGCCCCAGCTGTACCCACACCAGAGGCCTGCTCTGAGCCATGCCCGGAGCTTGTTGGGTCCCTCATGTACGCCATGATGTGCACCCGGCCTGACTTGGCATACCCTGTCAGCGTCCTCTCTCGATATGTGGCCCCTGGGCGCTTCACAGACCTTCATTGGAAAGCGGCGAAGCGGGTGCTGCGCTATCTGCAAGGCACCAAGTCCCATGTCCTCACCCTTGGTGGGCTTTCCTCTCCTCGACTGGAAGGTTACACGGACTCCTCCTGGGCAGATGACCAGACCGACCGACGCTCCTCCCAAGGCTACTGCTTCACCCTTGGGAGCGGGATTGTCAGCTGGCGCTCCACCCGGTCGTCTGCAGTCTCCCTCTCCTCCTGTGAAGCCGAGCTCTATGCCGGCACCATGGCGGCTCAGGAGGCCCGCTGGCTCACCTTCCTACTCCAGGAGCTTGGCTTTCCTCAATCTACTCCCACCCTCTGGTGTGACAACCAGAGCACCATTCACCTCTCCCAGGATCCCGTGTACCACACCCGCACCAAGCACATCGAACTTCGTCACTTCTTCATCCGTGACCTTGTCCAGCGAGAGCAGCTCAATGTGGAGTATGTGGCCTCCGACTGCAACTTAGCTGATCTGTTCACCAAGCCCCTTGGGAAGGTTCCTCACCATCGCCTTCTAGGCGCCATGGGGCTCTGCGCTCCTCCTTCTCCGCCATGAGTTCGATTGACGCCTATGGGGGGGTGTTGGTGTTAGCCCTCAATCTCACATTTTGTACTTGTACTTTTATATCCTAGTTTAGTGTAGTTTGTACTTTGTGTTTGGTTGGGTGTATACCCACATCCCAACCAAACCCAAATGTAATCTCCAAGCAATCTCCAACCCACCAATTGGAGATTGCCTTAGGATTACCCTTGATTCCCTAGGATTGCCCCCTGATTCCCTCCTCATCCATACCTTGCTCATTCCTGATGTACTTAAAGAGCTTTGAGCTCACTACTAATGTATCAGTTCTAAGCCTAAGTTCTGACAGCTTTGTGAAAGTCGAGCTGGGCCGGTTAGTCCCGAGCCGCGGCCCAACGCAAACCTATTACATAATTCAAGCAGATGAAGTTTGTAAGCAAATCTAGCATTTAAATTGTGCACCATTCTTCTGTATCACCATCATGCCTCTAGCCACGGTTCGTGTCTTCTCAATGTTAACGACCACGCCCTTAACCAACATGGTGCTCGATCCGTCCTCATTCTCCTGTTGTATCCTTCCCATCGCTCCACTAACATCCTTCCGTCCCACCACCATGGCCCCCAGGTCACTCGCCTTCAACCAGCTGTATGGGAGCATACCAAGCACTCTCACCCAGCTCACGCAGCTCACATTCTTGTACGACCCATGCATCACCACTCTTTTTCGATTGCTCTGGTGGTCTCCTTCTTGTACATTTGTTTTGAATCACAGATGAATGCTCATTGCACTTCCAAATCCATGATTTCCGCAAGCCACAAGAGCACCTGCCGTACCATGCATGCTCATGTTGCATGCATTCTGATTGCACTTTCTCGCCTCGCTGCCTTGCCATGCATGCCCTCTAATCACAATGGTCCAATAAGATTTATTTTGGAGAAATACCGAGAAAGTTCAAAGGTGATGTTAAATAACATTGAACACTACCCAGTACCACTTAAGAGTCAAACCGGTCAATAGAAAACCACATGAATGCCCGTGGTTGCCGTGCCAGTGCCCTGTATACCCATCTTCACATCCCTCGGATTGCTTCCTCGTTTCTCTCTTCCTCATTTCTCGGATTTCTCTCTTCCCTGGTCTCAATCAACCAACCATCCTCGTATGCCTCTTCTTCCTCTCCCTCTTCTGTATCCTTCTCTTCCACCTCACCTTCCCCTTCTGCTCCCCTTCTCGTTGACTCCTCATTCTTCTCCTCCGCCAGCCTGTGTCTATCCCCTTCTGCTCCCCCATCCGTATACCCATTCTTCTCAACAACCCCTCACATCTTCGCTCCCTGCACTCCACTTTTTTTTATCCAGATGCATTGAGGCGATCCCTACCCATCCTTCTCCCGGCACTTGCACTTGCACCTCCTTCCTGCAGAGACCTCTCTCACAACTTCCTCACAGGCTGCGCACTGAAGCCCCTTGCTGCGCTAACCCTGGATCTCTCCAGCAACTTCTTCTCGGGCCCTCTGCCCGACGGGGCATGCCAGCCTCGCTCTTTTGATGCCAACTGCTTCACGTTGCCGCTTGGCTGTGCCTTGGTGCCCCAGCGACAGGAGGCTGCATGCAATGCATTCTGTGGCGTCTCCTCTGCTGCTGGTGCTACTGCTGCTCCTGCGTGTGGAGGACATGGAGTGTGCTATCCAGAGGGGGCTAGCTTGGCACCCACATGTCTGTGTGATGCGGGATTCGTGCAATTTGGAGGGATCACCTGTGTTGCTCAAGGTAGGGGACACCACTTGAAATCTATGAAACATGACCTCATACAGATTTACAGAATGGTGGAACGTCCAACTCACGTGAACTCCAGTACCTTGTTGATCGAAATTCTTAGGTATCACCCAGTCATGCCTCCATATTGTTAGAGGTAGACTTCCACCTCACGTTTTGTACTTGCACTTTTTATGTCCTACTTTAGAGTAGTAGTTTTTGTGGTTGGGTGTTACACCAATATCCCAACCCAACCCAAATGTGATGTGATCAACGGAAACCTTCAACCCCACCACCAGTGAAAGGTTTCAGCCGACCTCATTGGGAATTGCCCCCGATCCCCTGCCCATCTGTTCCCACCCATATTCTAATGTACTTAGAATCCTTGAGCTCCTTTATTCAATCAATCAATTCTCGCTCAAGTTCTTACACATATCCCACTCCTGTCCATCCGTCTGTCATGTTTGTGCAGGCCAGAACAAAAACTACTCAAGCAGTCAGGCGGTTCTCCCACCAGCATCTATACTCACCAGGGGGGGGCAGCGCGAGACGAAGGGGAACTTCACCGCAGAGCCGGTGAAGTTGTTTGTGTACGAGGCACACCAGGGACTGTCGCGGTGTGGGCTGCAGCTCGCCTTTCACGCCAACTTCACCTTCTCCCTCTCGCCTCGATCTGGCCACGTGGGCTTCAACGGCTTAGCGTTTGTCCTCTCGGCAACGGACCAGGTGGGGAGTGGCGCTGGTGTGGGGTATGGTGGAATGGACACACGGAGCATGGCGGTGGAGTTTGACACTCTGCGGAACAAGGAGCATGGCGACATGAGCAGCCAGCATGTGGGGCTGAACGTTCGAGGCGAGGACAAATCGCTAGTCGCTGTGAGGTCGCCCTTCCCTTTGAGCAACAGGAGGGCGTACACGGCGTGGGTGGACTATGAGCCAGGAGACCCCGGCACCATCCAGGTCTTCCTGGCTGACTCGCAGGAGAAGCCGCAGCAGGCGGTGCTGGAGTGGAGGCTGGCGCTGTGTGAGGTGCTGCAGGGTGCAGTTGATCAGCCCGCCTTCTTCTTTGGCTTCGTGGCGTCCACCACTGTGAAGCCGTTTCAGCGGCACGTCATTCTTGAATCGACAGTGGATACAGGTAAGCAGTGTGTGCTGGCAGGGGGATGGGCTTGGCATGGTGGTTAACAACATGGGAGGTCCAGTCCGGAGGATGTGAAGGAGGTGGCAACAAGACTGAGGGAGTGGATGGTGATGTAAAGAATTGTGACGATGGGGGTAGTGCTGGTGAAGATGAGGTTAGCTCTGGTGCTCATGAGGTTACCGATGGAGGTCAATTTGAAAGTGACTGCAATTTGATATGAGTCACACATTTTCTGAATCTTACACGGTGTCTTCTATCTTCGCTCTGATTGCTTTGTCTTTGCGCAGGCCTTCCTGCTTCTCCCCAAACAGTCACACGTAATCCAGGTGAGACATCGTCTCCCATGCTTCTGTTCCGACTCTCGCAACTACCTCTGTTAGAAGGACAAAAGAGGCAAGCATTGTGACTGAGTGATTGTTATTATCATCTTATAATCTGTACAGACGTTTCCCCTCGCGTTTGTTTATCTTTCCACATGTATCCTTCACTCTCCGTCTTACCATGTTTTTCTTTTCTTTTGGAGGTTCTTCGTACTAAATACTCATGCATTCAGTAGATTTGGTGTAACAAGGAAGAATAACCTAGACAGTGTGGTTGATGGTGCACAGCACGGTGCGCATAAATCTGAAGCAAACTGGAAAATGGAGAAGCTGAGCAACTTCGTTTACGGAATTAGGGAAGCAATTTTTTTATGAGAGACATGCATGAACCACGCTTGAACGGAGTGCTTGTTTGGTGGATGTAAAACAAATTTGCAATGACCACTTGAGGTGCAGATGTTATTGGATATGGGTTGAAGTTCAGCAACGTTAGGACAATGCACCCCAGACCATTGTACTCATTATCCCCCTTCAATTTCTGCCTTGTAACAACTTGTCACTTCCACATCCCATTCCTTTCTCCATAATTCAACTTCTGAGCATGTCACAGCCTATGGCCTGCAGCTATCAACGAACACATACATGCCAGCACGGGCCAGCCCCTTCCCGCGCTATGTGAGTGCGGACTACCGTGTTGCGCCCAGCAAGCAGGACTCGTGGGTCATCAGCGACTTCCACTCCTGGGACTCCGTGCCCTTCCTTGGCTGGCCCGTCAAGGACCAAAGAGACTGCAGTGAGTGAAACCAATGGGAACCTGATGAAGCATGTTGGAGCCGATAGCTGGGCTGGTGTGTCTTGGTTAGTTGCTACGATCTGCGTCTTTCCGTTTGCTGTTCTGCTGCTGGTCACTTTCATGTTTGAACTATCGCACAATAATCAGGGCAATATGAGTCTTCATCATTTTTCAGCCGTCATCGCATGAGCTTCAATTAAACGAACCAATTTTCATCATACGCAGGTGCTTGTTGGGCGTTTTCGCTGGTGGCGAGTGTGGAAGCGGCATACCGCATTGCCTTGAATGCACAGGCACCGCAGCTGTCAGTGGAGTCACTCTTTGCAGCCATGGGGCTCACCTCCGAAGCTGACAAGTGCAACACGGGGGGCTCCCCCACCGAGGCGTTTGAAAGGCTTCTCATGCTGCCTCGCGGTGGAGTCACAGAGGTTGGAGCGCCTGTGAGTAGTGTGGTGAAGTGTGATTCTAGAATGTATTTATTTTTATGAGAGATTTTGGGAACCTTGAAGTGGTGTGCTCGATGTTGAGAGAGTTGCGACTATACTTCAACTGGTGATATGAGGACTGTCTCCGAGTCGTTGAAGCCACTGGCATTGGTTGCAACTTATAACCGAGTTGAACTAATTTTCTATTAGCATACGAGTGCCCCTGCAGTCTGATACGCAATGATAGATTGGCCGGATCGGGGCCAAAAGACCAAGTTATGGCAGCAAGAGGCAAACAGCTTCTACCAAGCATGATCAACGGTCAGCTAAGGTCGGCTTGCCACGAGCCGGAAGGGGGCCGAGTCAGACTTAAGAGTTCCATAACATTCAGAAGGCAACGTATAGAGTACAAAATGAATATTCTAATCATTTTGTAATGCACCCAACATTCTGCTGCTTTCTATGATTGGCCGCCAGCATTTTCAGCAAGCAAACTTTCGTTTTCCATCGTGATCTCCTGTTATGTTTCTTTCTCTTCCTTCCTATCTGTAATGAAATCTCCTTTGAACTATTCATCTTCAGAAAAGGGAGTACCCTATTCACGGCTTTGAGCGCACAAGGTTCAAGGGGTTTGTGGGGCTCATGCTGGCCGTGCGTCGACAGCCAGTGGTGGTTCACATCGAGGCGTCTGCTCTGAGTTTTGCACAATATGACGGGGTGGGTGTTTCTTGCGTTGACCCTTCATGCTGTGCACAAGGTGTCAAGAGTTGTACAAAAGTTGTTGTTCGCATTACCTGTATGCCAAAAACCAACCCAGGGTTGTACACAAGTTGTTACCAGCATTAAGCTGTATGCCTGAAGTGGTTCTTTGTTGTTTGTTGTTTCATCCCTCCATAGCTATTGTGGTGCCCCCTTTCTCTTCAGACCTTCAAGTACCACGATCCTGGCTGCTATACCGGCAGACTGGACCACGTTGTACTCGTTATTGCATACTTCATCTTGAGAAATGACGGCAGCCAAAATCGCATAGCGCCTCCATTTTGGATCATCCGCAACTCGTGGGGAGTGGAGTGGGGTGACCGGGGCCACATGCGCATGGACATTCAGGGAGGGGATGGCGTGTGTGGCATCAACGTGCTGCCTGGCATCTACCCCATTGTCAAGAGTGAGGCATTTATCTCGAGGTGTTGAGCGAGGCATCTATCTCGAGGTGTTGAGTGAGGCATCTTCCTCATTGTCTTAAATGGGGCACCTTCCCCCATCGCTCTCTCCATATCTCAGTCCCCCCCCTCCAGTCCATCACAGGGTGTATGGGGCAGGGTGAAATTTACAGAACAATTATGTAATCAATCTTTAGTCTAGGGGATGGCCTCAAATTTTGTATATGGAACACAGAGGAATGGAGGCATTGTCAACAGAGAGAAGAGAGTGTGAGCCAGTCACCAATCGCCAACTCACGGTTTCCAGATTTCACACCTGCCATTTGCCTACGGCTTGCCTTTTCCTGCCCATGGTCGTTTTCAATGAGTTTGCACTCGCGCCTGTTTCTACACCTCCTGATCCTATCTGTACCTCCCTCCAGTCCCCAAGGACCCTTGCGGCCAGAGGAGCTTCAAGGGTGATGGTGACCTGCAGCCCAGCATGAATCCGTGTGGGCGGTTCACATGCCGGGCTAACTTACGGAACAACAGCAATTCGTGTGACTGTTCCATTCCAAATGAATCTAAGCAGCCATTTGTTCAAGTTGCAAACGGATATGGCTCTCAAACGTGTGCTTACTGTAAGTTGTTTGGTTCAATTTCTCAAATGATAACTTTGATTCATGGCCCTTGTCAGAACAATGGCCGTTTTCGGAACAATGGGCTTGTTTGATCTTCATATATGCTTTCAACCAAGTCCCTGTCTATATCTTTTCGTAGTTCTATCTCTCCTTCCCCCTACTCTTCCCATTGCTCCCAACACATGTATCTCTCTCACCACTGTGCTCCACAATTGTGTTTATGTCGCTTGGCAGTGGACGTGTGTGGGTCTGACTTGAAGAACCCATGCTACGTGGGCGCATGCATCAACGATGGCAAGGGCTCCTACTCCTGCATCTGCCCCCCCAACTACGTTGAAAGCACAACCATTGACAGCCTCCCCACCTGCGACCCAGGTGCTGCTGCCTTGGCATGGTTTGTAAGAGGGTTGCTACTCCATTCGGTTCATATGTTGGGGTCATTACAACCCCTGCGAACTGCTTCTACTGTCAATTCTTGTGATGCACGCACAACTAGTAGGATTTACTTTTTTAAGACTTTCTTATGGGTGTGTTCTCCTGCTTTCACATTCGTCGCTTTCCAGCCAACATCACAGCCAGCACCCTCGCAGTGAGTGGGAGCAACTGGTGGTGCCCCGATGTCCTCTCTATTGTGGGCCTCTCACTTCCCCAATTCACACAGTAGAATAAGGTAACCAATGGAGATGGGGGGGCTGGAAGAGTGGATAGGCAAAATCGTCAATGTGTAAAATGAAATCAATCACAAAAACAATATTGCTACACCTACACTTAATAGCTGAAGCTTCCTGTGTCCATTTACTTGCTGACCCATCATGCAAACGATGTGCCATCCCCTGAAGTGGTGACTAAAGAATCGTGTGTGCTCCTCATTGCAGGGCATTGACTGCAATCAGGCTTTGCCTCGTGACATGGTGCTTCAGCTGGGAATTCCTCTCCTCGTTCCCTGCACTGCGTTCTTCTACACCCTCAGTGTGAGAGTTAGCCCTTTTTGTTTTTCTTCGTTGAATGGAATCTCATCAAATTATTTTTCTATATTTTCCCACACTGCTTTGCTTAGCTCCGCAAGACTGTCGCATAGTAAAGCTGCGCTCCATTCACCTCATGCATCTGTGCCTTCTCTCCCGTTGTTCAACCCTCCAGGGCGACACATGCTGGTCCATCAGTGCCCAGCTGTTCCTCACCACCAGCAACCTCACGGCACTCAATCCCGGCCTCGACTGCTCTGAGCCCATCAAGGCGGGCCGCTCTCTGTGCGTCGAGCGAAACGCCACCTTCGCCTTCACTGTGCCTCGGTGCCTTCGTTTGCGGCGTGCTTACAGCACAGGACACATGTGAACGCCTGCTGCTGGAGGCGGGGAGTGAGGACGACCCAACGGGGGCTGGAAAGGTGAACGCTGTGCGCTGGGCTGAGCTGTACCGCAACAATCCCGGCCTCATCTGGTCGAGTGTCATCCCGGTCTCCGCCTCTGCTGTTGGCAGCAACACTGGCGTGCAGGTGAGGGGTGGAGGTGAACTGGGTTGGGGGCGCAAGAGATGAGAGGGAAATGGAGGGAAGATTGGTGGGTGAACCAAACGTATACTTCATGGATGAGGGGGCAAGGAGTCATTTCTCAAATGCCAGAGTGGTGTTTTTCCAACTATTTGCCCTTGATTGCCCGTTGAGTGTGTGCCTATCTCTTTCTCTCAATACATGTTTTTTTTTCATTTGTTGTGTTTGTGAATGTCG